TCTGTCCAGAAATATTCACAAAACAAATGATGTTGCAATTATTCTGGAACACCCGGTATTATCAAGCCATGCTTCTTGATGACCGCTATGGCTATGGATGTGGTTATGGGTGTGGTTGAGATTGAAGGAAAAACAATACACATACCCAGATGTACATGCTATTTGTCTCTACTACATTCCTTATGTTGTAGATCTGATCTTTTTTAAGGGTAGAGCATGAAAAAAATGTATCTTCCTAATACCTTCTTTGCTAATCAAATACGAAAACTTTTAGTAGAAACAATTCTCATGTACATTTGGCACACGAATACATTGAAAATGAAATGAAAACTTCTTGAAAACAGGATTTTTATGAACATTTGAAATACTAGAAATATTGAACGAACACTTTTTTTGTCAATTTTTACATTGTATTTATGTCAGGTGAAAATCTTGGAACTCATCTATATCTTCATTGAATATTTTTTTTTGTAGTACTGCTTTAAATTTCTAGTGCTTTTCGAAAACATGTAATTTGGCCTTGTATATGCTTCATCATATCTTTTATCGTTATTTGATTCATATGAATATGCTAACGGTAGATGATGGTGCATGGATAAAAAGAGATAACAAATTTTAAAAGTGTGACAAACGCAGAAGGTCATTATTTATCTATTAAGAACCAAATGATGTTGCAATACTTGTTATATTTATTCGCGTAAGCATTAAACACAGAGCTGAATCGAAACAATGAGATCCATTAGAAGGATTGAATTAATTTTTTTTATTATTTTTAGAATAATCCCAACAAATAATGGTAAGTGCATACTAAAATCTTTGAAAATCGAAGCAATTTAACTTCTATTTATCTGTTTTTTCATTCAGGTCAACCTGTTTATAAACAATCAAGTGACTGTAAGTGCACGTAAATTTCTCACATTATCGTTTCAAAGCATGATGGACTGAATATAGTCAAATGTGTAATTCATCATAGTTCATCAGAAGATTTTATTTTCGGTCACATCGTAGTTCATCTTTCTTCAATCGGTAAAACAGAAAAGTTGTGTAAAGCAAGTTTAGTGTTTATGAATGACATGTGAACAAAATTTACGGCGATACGATATGAAGACATGATATCTGATAATCATTCTTATTTTATGGACAAAATTTCATCCATATAATATTTCAATCATTTACCTGTTCTCATTCAATTACCATATTTTTTATACGTTCACTTCTCTAATATATAAATAGTACCAGTGGAGCAGAACTGAATGTGGAGCATATTAATTATTCATTTTCTCTCTTTTTCTCATATTGCTGTTCTTTCAAATAAGTTTTTCAAACTGAATATTTAGCTGAATTCTCACTTATCTTAAAACCTTTATATATCTAACACTTTATTGCAGTTCCTAATAACATTGAAGTCCATCTCTACCTTACAACAGAACTACAGATATGAAAATACTGAAAGCTAAAGATATTTGCTAAACAATCCATAGTTTTCATTAATAGTTCAAATCATTTTTGACAAATCTTTATGATAAAACAAACTGAATTGTTTCTATTGAAACTCTAGGTCCAGGCAACCTTAAATGGAGTACAACAGCAACAACAATCATTGGTGACGGTTATGGATCAAGTTTTAATCAATTAAGCTTACCTACAGGTTTATTTATCGAACCTAAAACACAAATTTTGTATATTTCTGATAATTTTAATAATCGTATTCAAAAACGTTATCCAAATGGTGAAATTAAAACAGCCGCTGGACAAGCCGATGGTAGAGGTGGAACAACACCAAATACGTTATCGAATCCAGTAGACGCTTTCGCAGATGAAAATGAAAATGTCTTCGTTGCTGATTGGAATAACCAAAGAATCCAATTTTGGAAGAAAGACGCAAAGACTGGAAAAACAATGGCGGGAAATAGTAGTAGAGGAGAAGCATTAAATGAATTTAGTTACCCAAGTGCAGTTTTACTCGATTCAAAGAAAAATATCATTGTTGCGGATACACAAAATCAACGTGTAACACGATGGCCCTCCACATATGATCCAAAAACATCTGCTGGTACAATCATAGCAGTAAGTTGTTGATTCTATTTCTATGGTGTGATGTACTACAAATCTCAGTATTCATTTGTGGAAAAATGTAAAACGAAATTATGAATAGAGAAATAAGTTCAAGGTTAAAGTGATTTGCTACTCAATCATGCTAAGCTTTTCTTTATTTACTGGTACTAGTACAGAAATTATTTAAGTATACTTGATTTTAATACAGGGTGTTCCAAAAGTGCCCAAGAAAAGTTTTTTCGTTTCATTTTACTGTTGACTGGACTTCATTGAGTAATTTCTTTTGCATAATAGATAAATACACAAAGTTTGTATTTCTAAAGACAAATTTTAAAAGCGTTGTAGAAAGTTGAGATCTTTAGCCGAAATACAAAACGTTAGCCTGTTTTCTTTTCTTGGAAAGCATTACGTAATATTTCTCTTTTAGCTACTTCGAGTTGTTGAGTGATTCGAATTTTTAAATTGTCTAATACTTAAAAGATCTTTTCACAAAAATCTATGTGGTATATCTTTACAAGAACGAAATGAATAGTACTAAACCAAAATTCAAGCAATAAAAAAACATATTATCCAAGAGTATTTTTAGACAGAGAAAATAGGCTAATATTTTTATTTTTATTTTGGTTAAAGATCTTAGCTTTCAACAGCGCTTTAGAAATTTGTCTTTAGAAATAAAAACTTGTTGTATTTATCTATTATTCAAAAAAAAAATACTCAATGAAATCCAGTCGATAGTGAAACGAAATGAAAACACTTTTTTGAGAGACTTTTGAAACATCCTGTATTTTCTCTAGGGAGGTAATGGTGGTGGTCTTAATCCATATCAATTAAATAATCCATTCAGTTTATACTACGATGAACCGAATCAAATTTTTTATATATCAAACCATGACTCGCATTCAATCACACAATGGTTTATCGGTGATTATGAACCTCGCTATATTTATGCTGGTATACCGGGAAGATATGGAAATAGTTCAGCCCAATTATTTTATCCCGAAGGTGTAACTCTTGATAAATATGGCAATTTATATGTTGCTGATTGTCAGAATAATCGAATACAAATGTTTTGTCCAAATTCTGTATTTGGTATTACAATTGCAGGAACAGGACAATCAGGAAATGGAACTAACGAATTATCTTATCCATCTGATGTTGCATTTGATTCAGAACTTAATTTATATGTCTCAGATACATTTAATAATCGTATACAAAAGTTTCAACGAGTGCAATAAAAAAAAACATTATCAATCAATATATTTTAACATTCATTTTTGTCATTTCTTGTGTCATATAATAATTTTAAAAATATAAATTACATCAAAATCACACATGAATTGTTTTTTTGAATAACTATTGGGCGTGAGTGTAGGTGTGGGTCGATGGGGTGTAGGTAGTGTGGGCGTGCATGTATGAAACGAGACCACACCCACACCCCAGTCAATGTTTTTGGTGCTCTTATAAACCAATTGATATTGAAGAATTTGTTGTGCGAATAAATATTACAATGTCTGTTTATGTCTATAATGTATATAATAAATCTAGTTTCAATTAAGTTCTAATATCCTTTCAGATACAATATCATTGCAAAAAATAATGAAAGACGGAAAATTGATGAATTCAATCGATGCTGTAGAGAAATTAGCATAATTTTGGACATAAATGAAAAGATCATTGACGGACGTACAACAGCAATAGGATCTAACACTATCGTATCGAACAGCTAAGATGGATGAAGCGTTTTTGTAAAAAAACAAAAGATATGAATGATTGATGTCAATTTAGTAATTGGATTCCTGAGTCTTCGAATGTAATCATTGGGTGAATGTGGCATGTTGTTTACGATGATTCAACCTGAACTTATGGTGACATATATACTTATCTAGACTTCTCTTGACTGTACTATAGTAAAGGAAACATTTCATGATTACCTAAATACGAAAAAAGTAACACGAGACTGATTCTATTATGAATTTGAAAAATTAAACGAAAACAAGGAGGAGTCGTTTGACAAAACAGTTATATCGTGTACAGAACTGATTTTCTCTATGGCAGGCAGGTTTTTCTTTGACTATGCATCCACTTTTCAGAATAGATTAACCATTCACTTGGTTATATTTAACACTTGTTCAAGAAAAAAAAAGCATTGATAGATGAAATCATTAGAGATAAATTTCTAATGATTGTTCCTGGAGTATGACAACGACACGATCTTCGTTGAAGTTGTCGAATGGAAACGCTTGATAACGCTTTTCAATAACATAATCACGTAGATTTGGGTTGTCAAATGGTCTGCCTTCGACAAAATCTATTTTAAGATGAAGTAAATTGACCAATCCGTCAAGAAGAATATCAGCAAGACGTACACATGCATCAAATGAATATACCTGAAGTTCAATATTGGTTAGTGAGGGAAAATGTTGAATTAATTTTGATGCATATTTTAAAGAAAAATAGATATTATCTCTTATTAATTCTAGTCTTTGTAACTGATTGAAAACGGAAATAAGTGATGGATTATCAAATAAAGCGAAAGACAGAAACAATTGAGCGCCAATCCTAAGTTCAGTGAGATTTGAACATAGCCTATAAAAAAAACACATTTAAATATTAAATAATGAGTATTATTATTGATTTTCGACCGAAAAAAACGAGATTGAAGAGTTTTCTCTAGAAATATCTAAAGAGAGGCATCCAAATCAAAACAAACACTTCCTATCCTTATTAATACAACTTTATTGAGATGTACCTGTTTCAAAACATACTACGTTGTATTAAACTCTAAGAACATTGAATCAGCAAAATACATACACTCGAAACTTGGGTCATTCTCAGATGAAAGTTTACAAGTTTTTTTTACCTATCATTTTTCAGCAAAAAACTTTAGATATCTATGAATTTACTAAAGTTGGATTTGAATCTGCAGTCCAAAAAAAAGCCTGACAATCATCCATGTAGACTAGCATACATAGAATCGACTTGAATTAGTGATTTGACAAAAAAAAAAATTTTTAACTTACAATAAGATCTGTTCAATACAATAAAGTTGAGATATATCATTCTTTGGTTCAACATCTATTTTGTTTATTGTAGATAAATCTACATAACTCTTAAGTACATTCACACATCGTTTAGTGCTAATTTTATCATTTTCCTCATGATACATGGAAACTAAATAAATAAGATGATTCAATTGCCATCTCAAATAGTTAATGAAAGAAACAATTTTCTTCTTACTGAGTCTCAATAAATGTAGCCTTAATGTGGATGTTGACTGTTGAAATACGATTACAAGATGTTGAACATTTTGAAATGGTGCAAAAGATGGTAGATTATCAGTTATGGCCATATTTCTAAGTACGACAACTTCTAATTTTGTGTTATGCTGATGAAAATTGTGATATTGATCATCTGTTATTAATGTCGATTGTACCTGCAATGTTACAAGTACGATATTTAAATTCTAAAGAATTGTATTCTCGCCTATTAGTTGAATATGTTACAGTTCACAAACTGATATATTCTTCTAAAAAAAATACTCATATAAATCAATAATTGATTTTACTCAAGAATATCTCTTTATGTTGTTTTACCTGGTTCTTCAAGTTACATATATATCGCTTTTTGGATGAATGAATATCTGATCTCTTTATTGAAGAAAACAGTAAGTATATATATAGGAGAGAGACAATAAACGGAGTAGAGAAGACGTCGAGAAGCCTCATCCGTCTGTTTAGCAAATAAACAATAGAAAGAATAAAGACAATGGTTCTTATTACTTAACAAAGACGTCAGTTAGAAAAGTAGGTAAGACGAAAAAGGTCATACGTGAACAGCTGAACAGAAAAAGAAAAGAAGAGAAGTGAAGCACTATGTAACATCGTCCCCTTTTGATCAAGAGATCGTCTCGATCTCGAAGAAAGAGAAAAATATTAACACCATGACAATTTTAACAAAAATCTAAGTTAGAAAGAAAAAGAAACAAAGTAATATCTTCTTTTGCATTTTTTTTGACATCACGTTCCTTCGTATTCATTGATACATAAAAATAATAACTTGAGTTACTACGACGAGTATAAGCCATATGAAAGCCATGTCAACGGAAAAAACATTAGTTTGAGTTGAAATTCTCTTATTACTCACAGTCTTCACGAATAAATACAGGTTTCATGTCAGATGTTGTCACCTGTTTTGTATAATGTGGATTATGATCATTATCTGGATCTTCGATTTTTACGATCAACGTTGAGGGTCCTTTTGATCAATGATTCGATAAGGACCTTCGTATTTTTCTTGTAATTTTGATACTTTATTAATTACTCGTATCAGAACTAAATCGTTGATATGATATATTGGATCTGGCCTGTTTCGATCATATCTAATTTTCGCTAATTCACTTTGATGTCGAATATTCAATTTTGCATGATCGATAAGAATTTTCCTAACTCGTTTTGCTTTTTCATAATATTGATTTGGCTTTGAAAGAGATACTTTCATTTGTTTCGGATCCATAAGTAGTAAGTTTTCTCTACCAAACATAATCTGAAATGGACTAAATTTTGTTGGACCATGTTGACTGGTGTTATACACATAAATAACTGGTTGTAGTAATTCGTCCCAGTCTTGTTTTTGTTCATTCATTAATTTCGATAATGCTGGAGCAAACGTTGCGTTAAATCTTTCTGTTTGAGCATTCGACATTGGATGATATGGTGTCGCAAGGATGTGTGTTATATTACATGAATAGATTATTATTCTGGCTAATTCTGCAATAAAGTGAGGTCCTTGATCTGTCACTAATTTTGTTGGTGCTTCGTAATGATAACATACATCTAAGAAAAATTCTGCTGCTTCTTGTGCTGAATTAGTCCTGACTGCTTTCGCGAACACCAATTTTGAAAGATAATCGGTCATGGTAATGACATATTTGTTCCCATTTGTTGTGGATTTCTCCATGGGACTCCAGTAATCCATTCCAACCAGACCCATCACTTCATTTGGTGTAGGAATAATATTCATTTTCCCAGGTAATTTGGCTCTTCTATAATTATATTTTGAACATCTGGTACAAGACTTAATATAATTGATTATTGTTTTATACATGTTCGGCCAATAATACTTGTTGACTAATTTTGTTGTTGTTTTATTAATTCCCATATGTGCTGCTGTATGATGCTCGTGATGAAGAAAAAGCACTTGATTTATCATTGTTTTTGGAACCCATGTAAGTTTAATTTTTCTTTTCCCACGTGGAACTAATTTATATATAATATCATTAATAATTTCAAAATCTTGATTACTAGATAGATTTTTCTTTTTCTCTTGAATTTCCATATCTTTTAGTTGTTTTTCTTTGATCTTCATCATACTGAAACCCATCGATGATAAATGAACTTCCGCTGAAGAGTTTGCATTCGATAATGACGGTACCATTGTTTTATCATTCGCGTTCGATGGTGATGATGCCGTTGAAGCCATGTTAGTATGTGATGATGAAGAAGAGTTTTTTCCTTATAGTTGTGTAGTTCTTAGACGAGTATTATAAACACTTGTTAATTTTACTCCATTATCTTGTTGGTTATTATTAGCTCGAGCTGCTGAACGTGTAATCACATGAATTGATGCTGTTGGTTGAATACCTGAGTCATTATCATATAATTCATCTGAGTATGGGAATAAATAACCTTCATGTTGTTTTCTTATACTAATGTCATTACAATAACTTTGATTACTTTGTAGTGAATAACGGGAAAGTAAATTTGCATCACAATGGCATTTTTCTTTTTTATATTTAATTTCAGCAATGTTGTATTCGGATAATATTTCAATTGCCCATCGATCGAGACGTCCATTACGTGATCGTTTTTTATGAAATTGACATAGTGGACAATAATCAGTTTCAATTCTAAAATCTTTACCAAGTAAATATGGACGTAATTTTGTTATAGCCCAGACAATGACCAATGCTTCTAATTCAGTCGTAGAATATCTTAATTCAGTATTTGTTAATACCCGTGATAAGTAATAAATTATTTTTATTCGTCCATTTTCAGTTATTTGTTTTAACACCGCACCGAGTCCAATTCTTGACGCATCAGTAGAAAGAACATAAGGTAGTTTTGGATCAGGAAATTCAAGTACTAAATCTGGTCCAGTAATAATCTGTTTCAATTGTTGGACAGCTTGTCTTTGTTCTTCGCCCCATTTAAATTTGTGTTTGTTGTGCTTGGTCAGATTTGTTACACGATGGATAGGAGCCGCAATCTTTGAAAAATCTTTAATAAACTTTCTATAAAATCCGATTCCACCTATAAATTCATTAACTTGTTTTAATGTTGGATGATCAGGTATTGGTAATTCTCGTATTGCTTTAATATTATCATAAAGTGAAGCGATCTCATATTTATCAATTGAATGTCCGAGATATTCAATTTTGGTTCTCATAATTGAACATTTGCTAGGATTTAATTGAAATCGATCTTTATCGAGGATACTAAGAATTTCATCCAGAAGCTTCGTATGATCCTTAAATGTCTCACCAAAGATTATTATATCGTCAAGATATACTAAGCAGCAATGTTCACGGCCATAGACGACGAGATTATACATGATCCGTTGGAAACTTGGCGGAGCATTGGTTAAACCCATTGGGAGTACATTGAATTCCCATAAGCCAGTAGTCGTGATAA